TTTTTTTTTTCTTTATTATATAGATATTACCGGAAACTTTTCATTTCGCTGCGGCTGGTTAATACATATTTTTACGGCATTCTTAAAAAATCGTGCGAACGTCCGCGCACCATCGGGCCACAGGAAACTCGTTTTCAATTTTGCTTTTGTTTCTATTGTATCATATAATTTTCAGCCTGCATGGTCGACACCATTGTTGCCGTCATCATCGTCATCATTAGGCCGGGGCAATTAGACGAAGGTAATAACGAATAACGCGATAAATTTTTGACCGTTTCTGGTGGATTGACACGGGCATAGTATGTATTTCAGTCAGTTATAACAGAAGACTGCTGCTGTCCAAAGACCGCCAGAGGAGATTCTTGACTAGTCCACGGGAAGACGTCCGAATGTAACAGCGTCGCCAGCACGAACGATCCCGTAACGCATGTTCGATATATTCGCTTGTGAAAAAACCCACTTACAAGCTCCACCAGGAGGAACTTGTGGGCCACCTATGACATCTCTGATCACAGAAATCACTTGATCACTCGACTCACTTACTGCAGACTTCTATTACAGGTATAGAAGTTTGTTTGTTGCGTTCGCGCCATCCTGCCTTTCGTATCGTACGGTGTTGTGGTATGTACGTTTATTTTATATATGGTGTACATAACGTATTTTATATATGCTTATATATGCATGGATGGATGTATCGTGCTTCTGCAACGAAATGGAAGCAATTATATTGGGGAGACGTCGATCTGCTTTGAAAGCGGATGTCGCTGCTGCCACTGCTATTGCTGGAAGCTCGTTTTGGTCTATATATAAGGACGACGTAATGTTGGTATCTAACAACTAATGGGTATATTGTGTAACAGAACCTATTAGAGCCGATAGAGAACCCCATCTGTGCACAGGCATAGGCCGAAAAAAGTGGCCTAAGCTAAACTCATCGTCATTATCATCATCGTCATCACCGAAAACGGGCACTCTCAAAAAAAGAGTGTCTACCCAAACTTACAAGGAAGAAACACATTCTATAACGACAACTAGTTCAACTACTGGAGATCCCCTAGTGGCCTTCGTCCTTCTACCATATGTTAGGTTTCGTTTCTTTTTATTGATTCATAGCTTGCTTTGTTAGTATATGGGTCGGTGTCTGACCGTGGTCAGAATATCGTCCAGGGCAGCGTGCCGACAGGCGGAAGACGACAAGCAAATTCGAGCGCACATGTCATGCGGGCGACGTAAAGGAAGCCGGACGCACCAACGCCCCCGGTCGGCCAGCAAGGTCAGGCTGCTGCAGCGACTTTCGGAATCTCGAATTCGAAATCTTAGGATTCCGATAATTGGAGCCGACGAGTCAACGGCGTTGCTGCGGACTTTGTAGAAAAACCGACAAAGTACAGGAGTTTGAAAACTGACAACTCAGGAAAGCTGCCGGTAACGACCCAGGGAAAACGCTGGAGCCAGTGGACGGTTCTCCCTTGCGTCAATACGACTGACTGCTATAATCATCACTCACGGTCATTTTTTCTTTTTTCCTATCATCTCTTTTTCTTTCACCTCTTCGTTTTCGGTCTCTCAATATGTAGCTAACTAATTACCCATTTCATCTATTATAATCACACATTACGATCAATACAAGCTCTTCAAAATTAATCACAACAACGATGGGGTGGGTTGGTTGATCGGAGGGGCCAGATCTTCTGGATTCTCCTGACCCCCCACGACGTTGTTAGTAAGCGGTATAAGCCTGCAACAGATGTAGACTTGTCGAGTATGACTGAGTCTGGCCGCAACACTGCAGCCCACAGCATCCTACGATAACGTCGCACGGCGGATTATATCATGTCATAAAATATCGGTGGCTTGACGTACCGACGCGTTGTAGAACTCGACGACAATGTGATCCGATTTTGAAGCGTTGCTCCTTTGCTTACCGCTTTCGTCTTTTTTGATGCGACGATTCTCATCTCTCAATGACAGCTGGCGTAGAAGTCGATCACGCGAGCGCGTCATCGTATGACCTCATGAGGATTTCTGCAACCACGATTGTAGGTAGCGAGGTTCCAAGTCATGAAACCTCGTGTGAGGTCGCTGTAGCATTTACGATAGCCCTCAGCCGCATTTTGTTTGCTTCAACGTCGTTTCCGTGCTGTCCATATATAGACTATGTTCACTTAAAGCGATTCTTGATTGCTGTAGTTGGTCAACGCTGGTGCTCCTACCGCTGCAGTACGATACGGTGCGCGTTCATTAATTAGTTGTGCACCATAGTCCCTTACTCTGCCATCACTTCGGTGTCGTGTCACTAAGCTAGACAGGTGATGGATTCATGCGTGCACTAAACCGCTGGCTGCGGTCGACCGATAGCAAGTGGTGATGTGTGATTGCTTGTTTTTTGTTTTGATTCATTTTGGTTCAGACTTCCTGATACCAATATCGGACCAGATCGGATAGGACCGCGCTTCCCCGTTATGAGACAACTTCCCCGTTGTAGTCGCTGGATCATCGGCGACTCTCGGCAATCTACGTGTAAGCGTACAACATCAATAACGGCAGCGAAGTTGTCATGTTTCATCTTCGTGCCCCAGACCGATCCATTTTCACGCTGATGAGCATCCTTTTCTTCATCATGATCATCATCACCATGACCATTTGCGTCATCGCCATTAAAGGATTTTTCATTTCTCTTCATCCTCGTTTTCTTGCGAGGCGCCAGCTGCCCGAACAGCCGCCGCTACTAGAAATTCAGCAGTGGTAAAAAGCAGAAGTTAATTTGGTATGATTTATCTAACGGCACAAACTTGTGGCAATTACTAGTAACTCGGCTATGGATCGTATCAGCTATTATATATTATGAAGTCTGAAGCGCCTAATTGGATTTATAATGCAGACGCAGACATTCGTGTTGTAGACCAGG